AGGGGAACAACAGTTTTAAAAGGTTAAAATACTTTCAGGAATTTATTGAACTCCCCTTTCACGAACACCTGCTTCTCCAACTGAAATAATCCCATTGCAATCCTCAAACAAAGGCAAGAAGACATACCTAGAAAGGTCAACTACATGTACATTTTTAAGCAAGATCATTCGCGTGAAGAATTTGGTATGGTCCTCTGTTTATCTTTTTCTTTGTTTTCTTACAAAAATCTAAGTCAATATGAAAAGAAACAGCAACCCAAGTTGACCACTGAAAGCCCGTTCGAGTTTCAACTGCAGTACTTTCCTTACGAGTAAAATAATTACATAAAAGTAACTTTCCCTTGCAAATGCATTTTTCTAAGTTTTTAAAATTATCTTAATCATCTGCAAAAATACAAAGAGCATGAAGGATCCAGGTTGATCAACCAGTTTGACTTGCAACCTTATAAATGCATCCTTTGTTATCATGTACTGTCCTTTAGATGAGACACCTAGTTAAAACTGTTTTGGAATGGGAGTTGGCTATCTGCCTCAAGAAGCCTCTATTTTTAGAGGACTTACTGTAGAACAAAACATTCGCGCTATTTTAGAGGTTGCAGAAAAAAAACCTGATCGTCGTGAAGAACGGTTAGAAGAGCTTTTAAACGAATTTATGATTTCACATTTGCGTTCCTCTTTAGCAATTACCCTCTCTGGTGGAGAACGACGTCGTGTTGAGATTGCGCGTGCTTTGGCCGCAAATCCTTCTTATATGATGCTTGATGAACCTCTAGCAGGAATTGATCCTATTGCTGTTCGTGATATTCGAGAGCTTGTGGCAAAATTAAAAGATCTAAACATTGGTGTCTTAATCACGGACCATAATGTTCGTGAAACTCTAGATATTGTAGATCGTGCCTACATTATCTCAGAAGGACGCACACTGATGGAAGGCACCCCCTCTGATATTATTGCAAATGAAGATGTTCGACGCGTCTATTTAGGGGATGATTTTAGCTTTTAACCTTTTATAAACTTTAAAAAAGCAAACCTTCTTTAGTGGATCAAAGTGCCAAGGGAGGAGGCGTAACACCTATGTCAATTGCTCAAAGGATTGTACAAAAACAATCTCAAACCTTGGCACTCACTCCACAGTTGCGCCAGTCTATTGAACTTTTAGCGCTTTCTTACCAGGATTTATTAGAGCAGATCTCTCAAACTGCTTTAGAAAATCCTTTTTTGGAACTTAAAGAAAGCGCATCTTCAATAGAAGAAAGTTCCCCAGTTAAAGACGACAATGAAGAAACGGGGGAAGAATCCAACCTATGGACAGGAAACAGTGCTTTTGATACCCATAATCATCGTTCTAACAATTCTTTTGAAACAACTCCTAACGCAGATAAATTTTCTCATATCGCTGACACCCCTCCCTCTCTTCGTGAACACCTGCTACAACAAGCAAATGTAACCTTCCAGGATATTGAAGAGCGCCTTATTGCTTCTCAAATTATTGATGAGATAGATGAGGCGGGATACTTGGAGGGACAATCTCTAAAAAGTATAAGTCGACGCCTAGAGACACCTGAAGAAAATGTCAGAAAGATTTGGGAAATATTGCGCACGTTTGATCCTGTAGGTGTATTTTCTCATACTCTTGCAGAATGTTTGGAGGCTCAATTAAAAGAAAAGAAACTCTGGCAAAAGGGCGTTGAGCTTTTTCTTCAGAATTTAGAATTTGTTGCAAAACAGGACTTAAAAGAGCTTAAAAAAATTACAGGATGGTCTCAAAAAAAAATCCTGAGCTTTCTTCAAGATCTTAAGACCCTTACACCAAAACCAGGCCTTCTTTTTCACAATGAACCAATCTCTATACGAATTCCCGATGTGATTGTTGAAAAAAAAACAACGGGTCAATGGCAGATTCTACTCAACCCTGAAACCTTGCCAAAAGTTCTCGTCAATGAAACCTATAGTACCGAAATCTTAAGTGATGCCTGTGATAAAGAAACAAAATCTTATGTCCAAAATCGATTAAGTGAAGCAAATTGGCTTGTCAAAGCTTTAGACCAAAGAGCAACAACAATGTTAAAAGTCTCTAAAGTGACAATGTCTCGCCAAATTTCCTTCTTAAAACACGGCATTAAGTCCTTACTCCCATTAACCTTGAAAGATGTTTCCGAAAAAATAGAGATGCATGAAAGCACTGTTAGTCGAGCAATTGCCCATAAATATGTAGGAACACCCCGCGGAATTTTTCCGATGAAATACTTTTTCACAACCTCTATTGCAAGTTTTACAAATACTATGTTGCCCCCCGAAAAGTGGACAGTTGAATAAGCTCAAAATAAAGTTCTTTTTCGCATTTTAAGAAGGCAAAAGAAAAATGAGTAAAATACGAAAAAATCACAGCGCAAGTTTTAAACACAAAGTGGCTTTAGCCGCGCTTCGGGAAGAAGGCACACTCGTTGAATTGGGACAGCGTTTTGGTGTCCACCATACCCAAGTGGGGAAATGGAAATCTCTTTTGGAGAAAGAAGGGGCCTCATTATTTGAAAGCAAGCGCGATCCCCACAATCGGGATCAGACCTCTCAAATCCGCACGCTCCACGAAAAGATAGGTCAACNCCAGTTTGACTTGCAACCTTATAAATGCATCCTTTGTTATCATGTACTGTCCTTTAGATGAGACACCTAGTTAAAACTGTTTTCAAAAGTTTAAACCAGTGTCATATCAAATCACCATTTTTGGACCAGAACAGTCATTCAGTTAAACAAAAGGTCTCTTACTCAGCCCTGCTGGTCTACTCACTTTGAATGCAATTTTCCCAATGAACAGGGTCTTCATTTCTAGCAATGGCTGAAGCAGATGGAGATTGACTGTGCCCTACTGACAAACGAGGTAAACCATACCCAAAAGGACCTGAAGAAAAGAAAAAAATTCAAGTATAAAACCAGTATAAAGACTATTATAAATTGGCAGTAATAACAAATTATAAATCACCAGTAAAATTATGCTTTTAGCCCTGTGTCAGCTACCGGGTAGCCTTTGTTGTGTTCGGTAGCGTTTGCACCAGTCACATGGTTTTTTATACCATGCACAAAATAGGTTTGCCGTTTCGCCTCTTTTTTTTTATTACGCTTGAATAGCGCAATAACAAAGGTCATGATCATTCGAGGGAAGTTGAGCAACGATATCAGCCGTAATAACTTAGTAACGTAATGGAGGAACCCTTTTTCGCAAGACAGCGAATATATCAGCCATACTACCGTAATAACCGAACCTTTTTTCGCAAGAAAGTGAAGCTATTAGCCGTAATAACGTAATAGCGCACCCTTTTTTGTTAAGACCGCGAAAATATCAGCGGTCATAACTTAGTAACGTAATGGATGAACCCTTTCTCGCAAGACAGCGAATATATCAGCCGTAATAACGTAATGGACGTACCCTTTTTCGTAAGACAGTGAATATATCAGTCGTAATACCGTAATAAGGTAATGGCCGAACCTATTTTGGCAAGAAAGCAAAGGTATCAGCCGTAATAACGTAATAACGTAATGGCTGAATCTTTTTTCGCAAGAAAGCGAAGGTCTCAGCCGTAATAACGTAATAACGTAATGGCCGAACCTTTTTTCGCAAGAAAGCGAAGGTATTAGCCGTAATAACGTAATAACGTAATGGCCGAATCCTTTTCCTCAAGACAGCGAAGATATCAGCCGTAATAAAGTAATGACGTGAGGGCCAACGCTTTTTCGCAAAACAGCGAAGATGTAACGTGATTGGTGAACGATTTTTCTCTTGGTAGCCGCGGTGACGTAAGAAACCATACCGTAAGAGTCACCCCCCT